TGGCTAGCCCACATCAGGAAGTCTAACCATTAAGTCTCTCTCCCAACCTGCTAAGATTAAATAATCAGTTTATATTTAAAGCCAGACCTAAAGGTAATTGCTTTCTGCCACCCCTAAGGTCACAAGTTCTAAAGAGGTGGTTCCAGAAATGTCCCTTCAACCCAAAACAGTATCCAAGGTGCTCATCAAAATATAATTCAATTATTTATGCCACAGATATGGGCAAGCATCTGCTTAGTCCCTATCTCTCACCTTGACATTGAGCACCTCTTTTAACACTTTATTGCAGATCTGTTAAGAATATGGCATTACCAGTTTTGGAGAGGTGAACACTATCAGCCCTGTAGAGCTCAGGCTTCTCAAATATAATATGAGGGTGGGGCAGAAAGTGGCTTAGCCCAGCATCAAGAGCCTTACAAATTTCCCTATCAGCCTGCCTTCATGCCGTATCAATGGCAATAGAGTCACCACTGCATTTCCACTCCTGACCTGGGAGCATAGCCAACCAAACAATTTGAACAACTGGCCATGACTGTTTAATAAGACAGAAATCATGCAGCACCTACAAAATAAGAACAAAATAAGAACCGTTCCCATTAACAAACCAAGATTGTTGCACCCAAGGTGAACCATCAACACGTGTGGGGGGGAGGCCCTCATTACTCCTTAAACAATAATGGCAACAAGCTTGCCAACAAAGATCCTGCTTGCCCAACCAATGGAAACAGACAACATCACCAAGGACCAAATGAGTACCAAAGTGGCTTGTTCTTGCTTGCCAAGCAGCACAATAGATCATGCTGTGGCCACATAGTAGTACTTGAATTTTTGATGGCCAAGGGCAGGGATCTGAAAAACAAAGAAACCCCAATTAACAAAGCAGTCTCCTAACATATCTGTGGTATGCAGAAGACCTCCAACAGCCAATTTGTTTGATGGCATCCAGGTGAAAACCCATGGAGGCAGCTGTTTAAGCAACTTCAGTCCAAAAAGAATGAGTCACAAAGCGGATATCAGTTAAGCCAATAGAAAACAAGGCCCTGGTAGTAACAGCCCAAAACTGATGTTTAATCAAAGGAGAAAGTTCTTGATGAACAAAAAGAAGTCCTGGTCTGAATCCTCTCACTTGAACATATTCACACAAGGCCTGTACTGGGCAGATAGATGTATCTGAACAAGGCTGTAGAGAGATCTGATCACCTTTACCATGCTGGTCAATTTTAGATGATCTAATGACTAATGAAATAGACTGTCTAGTAAATCTAAGATCACTAGAACATAATGCTAACTCTCAGCACACTGAAAAATGCAGTTAATGCTGCAGAATGGAATAATAAAACTTCATATGGCAATATGCAAATATCAGCCTATACAGATCTCAAGCCCTTTAGAATGTCAGGAGACAAAGGCATTCTAGTATCTCTAATCTGACCTCTCTCTCTAGACCAGCCTTCTAATATCTTTTTAATCCAAAAATCAGTAATGGTATCATGGACCCCTTGTAGATTCTGCCAGAAAGCAATGGCAGACAAGTGGCCACAAATGGATTGAGGAGCCAATCCCCTGTCTTGGAGAAAAATATAATAGTGCAGGAGCTGAGGCACTGGAACAGATACTCTCTCAATTGGAGTGCTGCCTGGAACTTGAGGAACTCTTGCACCAATCTAAGATAACTCTTCCTCATACTGCCAGTGACCAAGAGACTCAGGGCCCACGTCACCTTGTGCTGCCAAGGCTCCACAGATGTTTGGGCATCGATTCTGTCAGCCAAGCTATCCTAGGAGCCAAGTTCCAGGAACGATCCATCTGTTTACGGGAGCA